CCACAATAAAGAAATTTAGCGTTAAAAATTTTAAGTGATTTTTAAGGCCCCACTGCTCCTAAATAATCCTAGTCTTCTTTGTTGGTCTGCATATTTCAGTTCACTGAGAGTATAAGGAGGTATTAAAGGTAAAAGAGAAAGTTAAAATTACAGTGGCACTTGCTAACCCTATTTAAAATCAAAGAATGTTAGTTAGCACTGATGATTGGAACTGTCTCTAATGCTTTACCCATGCAGACTTTGCTTCAGAGAATGGACAATTTTAAAAAGGAAGAAAGGAACTAATAATTGTGAGGCATCAACTAAGTGCTAGGCACTGTACTAGATGCTTCTGTCTCACTCTATTCTCACAGTAAGTTTGTAAGGCATCTTCTTCCCATTTTATAGAAGAGGAAAAAAGACCTTAAAATTATAACTGACAAGCTCCGATTCGTATTTCTAGAAATGTCCAAACTCGGTGATTGAAATCAGTCTCCTAAATAGGAAATCAAGTTCCTCTTCAGGTTTGTTTTGACTTGCATAAACAGCTGGTAGCTTTCGCAACACATAACCATTCCTAGGTGGTGTATATTATGTACTTCAGCAAAAACACTGTTTCATCGGGAGTTTAGAGACACACTCCAGTCCCTGCTCTTTCACTCCCAGTCCCTTCAAATGGATCAATAAACCCTATCTAGGTCCTGCTTCCCTCAGTTGTTAAGAGTGATAATGACACCTTCTCTGCTTAACTGAATTATGCTGTAAGGGCCAAAAGCGATCATGGATGACACAGCACCTGTCATTGATTAAGGACTGTAAAACAAGCAAAAGTAGCATTTGCGGCCACAATTCCAAGCTTGCAAAGATCCTCCTGAATGATCAGGCTACCCTGTCCCCATGCAACAATGTAAGGCCTTCATATGAACAGCTCTTACAGTTCTTCATTTTCTTAAGATAAACTTTTCAGCCTTCTTGGTATCGCTAATAAATGGAATTCTGACATTATCTGGTATGAAGACGGTGTGCTAAGTTTTATGAGGCTGAGAAGCTTGTCTCCCAAACACCACTGACTTCTTCCTGTCTCGTTCCTCCAAAGAGAAACTCTCGACTCACAGAGAGAAAGCTGTCAGTGCCTACCCAGCAGCTTGAGCCACAGTCACATGGTGTGTCAACACGACAGGGTCTAGACATAGAACTGCCCTCATTGTTTGGGACTGTCTGGGAGATAATGCACCGAGAGCCTTCTGGACGAGGTGCTAATGAATGAGGGGGTTGCCAACAGATAAACTAGGCTGGCAGGGAGAACAATTAAAACGATGTTACTGCAAAGCCAATGTTATTTTAAAATTTAATCATGCTTCCTGGTGGCTTAATGGAAATTTCTCTTCCACAATAAAAAAGAAAAAAACAAGTCAGACGCCTGTGCTATGAATGAGGTTGTATGCACACAACACAAAGCAAAATGCTGTTCTGATGATGAATCAGGTAAATTCATAAGTATAAGTGGTACAGCAGCATAATTCAAAACCTAAGACTGGTTTCTCACTCTGATTTATTCCATTAAATCGGTATTTTCACAAAGCTAACCCAGTAACTACTCATCTTTGCTTTTACTGTATAGATTCAGCCTGCAGAGGGTTATTTATGCCAATCAAGGGTAAAACAAACGCAAACACCCAGGACAACTTTAACAATCCAGTTGATCAACTTTTAACTTTCAAACCAAAAGAAAAAAGTTCTAATAAGCAGTACCTTCTGGTCATAGTAATTAACTTGATCCTAAATAAAATAAGAGTTTCCTTTACCACTGGCAGGAGACATGCCTTTGATTGTTCACTCTTTGGTTTGTACAGGTCGCCGGGGCCCAGAGGCTAAGATCTTAATAGAACAGAAGTTGGAGATTTAACTACCCAAGAGTCACGTGTGCCCTCTCCCCCTTTGTATACAGCCCACATACTAAGAATGTTTTTTATGGTTCTTTAAAGGTTTTTTTTTAATCACAAGAAAATATTATTTTGTGATAGGTGAAAATTATATCAAATTCAAATTTCAGTGTTCATAACTAAAGGTTTTTTTGAACACGGCCACACAGAAGCCATATGGCCCTCAAAGCCTGGAATATTTACTACCTGACCCTTTCAGGAAAGTGTTTACTAAATCAATGCCCTAAAATTATCCTCCTTAGGTTTGAATTCTGCTTTATTAGCTGGGTGTTCTTGGGCAAAGTAAACTTCCTATACCTCAGTTTCTCATTTGCAAGATAACTACATATGTTATTTGTGAGAACTAAGTTAAATGTATATGATATGCTTAAAACAGTCTCTGAAACAAAGTAAGAACTCCATAACTGTTAACTGTCATTATTATTATACTTTGTCTCCTAAAAGTTCAATGCTTACATCTTATGCTAACTTAGAAAATTGTAAAGAAAAAAATAATTGAAAAATATTAAATTAATTACAACTATATTGTTTTATGTAAATTCAGCAAATAAAATTGCATAGGAAAAATGATATGTGCATGTTTATTATTCATCTTTTATCCTATAACCCTGCTCTTAGCCAAAAATCTTAGTGTAATTTTGAAGCCCATTAATCAAGTTGAAAATATGGTTAGGTAAAAACAGTTGGATTGGTACATTTGTCATTTTGCTTAAAGATAGGATTAAGGCCCTTGGAAATATTTTCCTAATAAAATACATAATTAAATATTGATTGCTTGGCTAAAACACAGCTGCAATTTAAACAGTTGTGATCAATTGTGTCAGCTTATTATTTTACCTGAAATATTATAAAATATAGGACAAGTGGCTAAAATGCTAAGAATATTTTAACTTCAAAATTTTGCTTTAGTGCTTTTTATACAAACTTTACTTTATCTTGAAGCAAACTTAATCTAGTTTGAATATATTTATTTATTTATTTGAAATTAGTAATTTATATATAAATATATATATATAAATTATTTGAAATTACTAATAGTTAAAGATTTTAAGTGGGTAGAGAAGATAAATATAAATTGTGAGAAGGAATGCAAATGAGAAATAAATCCAGGAAGAACACAAATGGTAAACAAATAAGGAATTACAGTTTTTCATATTAACATAAGACATGTTTCTTTATGGACTGGCCAGGATTTTTCCTACATGATAGTGATACTGGTAGGGGTGGGTCAGTCACAGCAAAGACTGATGAGGTGTTCACTGGGGGCCATGTTTTTTCTAAGTGCTTCATATGCAGTTCAATAATCCTCAAAACAATCCCCCAAGTTCAAGATTATTATTAAAGGCATTCTAATAATATTTTACTAAACAAAAAGAAGACAAAGAAAATAAAACCAGAACCCAAAGTCATACGCCTGTTTGGAGACAGAGTGGAATTTTAACCCGAGCTGTCTGGCTTTGCAAGTCTTTCTTCCAACCACAAAGTTACTGGTGCAGCGATATGGACATATTCATATTCTGCTGATTCCAGAGAAAACAATGCACATTGTTATGTCAGGCCCGGTGAAGAGGAAAAAAGATGTTCTCCATTGATTTCTCCTTCATCTTAACTTCTAAGGGAACACATGTCCTGATTCTACAGTTTGTCATAGGTCAATGGTAAACATACCTTCAATGATATTTTTAAGACAAAATAACTAAAGTCTTGCCAATGCTTATAACAGCAGTTACAGTCATTTTGGAACTACTGCACAAACACTTTGTGGTTTTTCCCAGGTTTAGGGTCAGCAGAGCAATCACAAACAAAAGTTGCCAGTGAGGCTTTTGTGTTGGTATGCAAGGGAGGAAAGGAAGAGAACTTGAGGATCTGCCAGGTTCTAACAGCTTTATTTGTGTTGACTCACACCGACTTCAAAACTCTGTGAGTTATTATCTCCACTTAGCAGAATACATCTCCAGATCAGATTAGCTGAGTTATTTAAACTTAACATACACTGAGATCAAGGTAATGTGCAGAGACCTAATCCAGAAAAAAAAAAAAAAAGAAATCTTGACATTTTCTCCAGAGAGCCAGCTGGAAAAACGAAACTGGGCACAAGAAACATAAAGAGTCCGATGAATATGGCAGAATTTGCCCTTTTTTCATTCTTGTTCATTCTTTGTAGATTAAAATATTATTTTAACTTGAAATTTAAAAATACCTGTATCTTTCTTATTTCTCCCCAGTCCCCAAAGGATAAGAGCAAAATAAAGTTATCTTTAGTGTGCAGCTGCAACTGGAACCGTCAAAAGATAGCACTGTGAATAATGTAGCCACATAAATGCTTTGAAGCCACAGCGATGCATTTCCTTTTCGAGGGGCGGGGCAGCAGCATTAAGGACACAGAATGAAAAACAGTAAAGTTTATAATTTCTAGTGGCAGTCTTTGCATCTCTCCACACCAGAGGATTCTTTGAAATATAAATCCCATTATCTCAGGTTGCCCTGCTCACAAAGAAATCATTAATCTAGCAAAAACATTTAAGGGTTTATTGAGAACTAGGTAAGGTGTGTTTTAACAGAGAAATTAAGCATTAAAAGTGAATATATCTGTTCAGGGAAGTCAGGGAGGTACCTTAAAGGAAGTGACATTTTATCTGAGCTGGGACATCAATTTAAGGATTGCGGACACATATTCCAAGCAGAAGAAATAGCGCAAGCAAAGTCTTGAAGGTATACAAGTGCATGGTAAACTAATGGTTTAAAACTTCCAGTGGAGCTGGAGCAAGGGGTTCTTTGTAGGGATGAGTAGAAGCTGGGGCGAGAGATACATGATGACCGACTGTACAAACTCATATTGGAAGTTTAAGGAGTTTGAACTTTGACTTAGAAGCTGCAGAGAAGCACTTGGGGTTTCTATGCAGAAGAGTACTGTGATCAGAACAGTGGGAGTTTTATTTTGTTGCTTTTATATATTTTATTGAGTATAACAAAGATATGGAATAAGTACATTTAATTTATTCTGTATCTATATTATTGAATTTGTTGAATTTCACAAAGTGAACACAGTCATGTAACCAATATTCAGGTCAAAAAACACATACATGCTGAGTCAAAGAGTATGCTGATATTCAACTTCAGTAGATAATGCTAAACATCTCTCCAGGGCCTGTCCCAATTCTTATTCCTATCAGCAGTCTATAAAGTTGTAGTTGCTAGTTGTTCCACCTCCTCACCATCCCTGCATTGATTGATTTATTCACTGATTGACTGCCTTTATCCAGGAATATAGTAGTATCCTGTTGTGCATGTCAAAGTGTCATAGTGGAGACAGACTGAAGATGGAGTGGCTAGTTAGAGAACTATGGGAATAATCCAGGAGCAGTATAGGCATGGATCTGCAACAGTGCCAACAGGACACTTGCATTGTCCCTGCTTGTAATCTATTATGCACAACCAGTGAAAAGGACAGATGAATACCAAAAGCCTTTGTGAATCATTTCTCATCATCTTATACACACTTGTGCTTTTTCCTTTCATAAATGGAAAAGATAATTTCCATTTATATGGGATCCTTAATCCCGAAGACCTTTGCAAATGAAGCCAAAGAAATGGAGCCCAGTCCATGTCAATTAGCAGAAGAGAGAAAACAAAAGGCCCAGATGCGTCTCCCTGTTGCTGCCTTGTCAAGAGGATAGGTTCAGGGCTTGCAGGACTTGTGCTCCACCCTCCAGCCTGCACCCAAGGCAGGCTTGTGCCCCAGGGCCATCCTCAGCAGCCACCGGAGAGGACAGAGGTGGGCAGGTCACCCACAGCTGGCAGAGAGACCTGGCACTAGAGCGTGCACTCCCTGGTTCATGAACCCCTTCACTGGGGCAGCTGGCCAGGACCAGGGACTGGAGATCGATGGGAGTCCAGCCAAGACACCTGCAAGTAAGAGAGGCGATTTTATTGTCTTCTAAATAGCTTGACTAATGATGATCACCTGCTATGGGAACAAAATGTGTTTGTCTGTGAATTTTAACCTTCAAATCCAGGTGTTTTAACAGTTTTCAGCAAGTTGTCAAGCCACACAATTCAGAGGACCATTGCTAAGGGGCAGGGTTTGTGAGGTGACAAGGGAGCAGTGTGTGCTCTCCTTCCAATCCAGAGAGAGGCAGCAGCCCCCTTCCCAGCCATGCAACACCCCCTCCTCCCTCCACCTGGGAAACAAGCCCTGCTGGGGCACCTCTTTCTGGCAGTCTACATTCCCCAGACTGACCTCTAATGCCAACAATCCTGCAGGGTGGGCTTCTTGGGAAGGTCTGGAAGCCCCTCAAGCTGGAATTGGAATTGTGAAGAAAGTTTATAGAGGAGGTCTTTTCCTACCTCATTATCATATTGAACTGAAGGGCATTATGAATTAAAGCAAATAAAAGTGAATTTCCTTCTTTGCTTTTTTTTCCAATGTCCATTTTCAAATGTCTCAGCCCAGCAACGTGTCCTCAGCTTCCCTTGTGATCCCTAATTAATTTGGACTCTGAGGTCAGCATCTTAAATTCCCTAAGCAAAGCACCCCCTTTCTCAAACCCGCTGCTTCTCCTTTTGGGTCTCATTTCTTGTCACTGCTAAAAGCAGCATTTCTATTCGATCGCTGATTCCAAGAGGGCTTGTCCTACTCTGCCTCTATGTCCACTCTCACCAACCTCACTCCATCAGTGTCGAACCACATCCCTCTCTCCCAGTGACCTACTCTCCTGCTTCCTCCATTCTGGCTCAGGTCCTCCTACCTGAAAACTTCCTGGACTTCTCGCCTGATGTGGCCATTCTCATGCCACCTCGCACTGAAAGTTCAACCTTTCTCAACATATGTACAGCATTTATTTCCAAATCCTTACATTTCAAATGCCCAGAGTTCATTCCCCAATGACTCCAGAATAAAATGCAAATTCAGTCTTTTGAGTAAATGCTCCCAACTCAACATGCCAACATTCTTCCAGTCCTCCTCCTCATCAAAACTTACGGTCTGGTCAAATGGACTTTAAATTGTATTCTTTGGAACACCAGTGTCTTATGGAAATGCTGTGGAATCTATCTTATGAACTAATGTACGGGGCAGGGGGTTGCTCAGCGAGTAAGCCTTGGCCCCTAATTTCATTATTTTATTGTATTTTATATTTATCATTTATATTTAATATATACACTTATATTTAAATCTCATATAGAAGAGTTTTACTGTTTATGAAAAATAGTAATGAGTTTTAAGCTCACACTCTCTTGTAACTGAAGGTGTTTCTGAGCTCCGAACATTTGATCCCATCTGTGTTTTCACTACTGTGCTTTCCAACTGGCTGAGCTGTCTTCTCATTCTCCCACCCATTCCACATTTCCAGATCCAGAAGCATCTCTTCCAAACCCATCTTAGCTGCATATCTTAAATGCACTAATTTCAGAGTCCTCTTTGTCTCCACCCTGGAGCCAATTCTCCTTTCCACCCCAAGGGAGGGCTGCAGCAACATCTTTGGCACAGTGGTGGGACCAGCTGACTGGCAGGCTTTCATTATCATGCACATGTGGATCAGAACCAGGCAGCCCCCAAAAACCCCAAAAAAAGAAAAAGAAAAGAAAAAGGACTACTTGATGTACTGCCAATTAGGGATCTATACTTCCTCATAGGGAAATTCTTATGCTTCCTTCCAGAGGCAAATGTCACAGTGAGAAAGCTCACTCACAAGGCCATTTAGGGGGCAGCTTTCCAACCAGTCACCTTGATTTCCAACCCTCATCCTACTGCAATTCCTCATGCCCACCATCACATTTTTTGGGGGGAACCATCTTTTGAAAAATGATTCTTGCACCTATTACAAATGTTCCCTGTGTGTGCTTTCGACACTGATTCCCTCCACTTATTCATCCAGCAATCTTTTCCATCCACCTTTCATCTTCCAGAAATCTACCAAACACCTTTCCTCTCAGTGTTTTGGACCAGAACTCGTCACATTTCACTGAACTCAAGTTATTTGGTGGAGTGTGTTAAAAGATCCAGGCATTGTTTAGGTTAGGGAAGATATCTATCTGAGATGCAAAGAGGTAAGGAAGTACAAGAAGATAAAAAGGATTAGACAGGAAACTAAATGAACAGCTGAGAGGAAATGAATCAAATATTAAAGTGTTTTAAAGAAAACTGAAAGACAAAGCAAGCAAAAGGCCTCACTCAAGTCCAGGTGTTCTGGTAGCTAAGATAGCATGAAATAGGAAAGACAAAGATCGAAGCCTGATGCTAAAATATAGGCAACCCAGCCACAGTTTTTCATGGTTCTTCTGGAATAAGTAGTTATAGCAATGGATTTTTCATGGAAAGTCAGAGCTTTTACCTGTGGTGTGGCCCCACATATGAAGCAACAGGAAGTTCTATAATTCTCAAGCTACACACATGAAAAAAGTTATTTCTCATAGAGGCAGCGTATGATCTCATTACTATACTTGGGACTATGTTCAGATTATTGGACCCTTTATACAAACACACAAACAATGAGAAAGGCGAATATATTTTCAACATGCAGCTAAAGTTTTGTCTGCACACTCAAAATAACGTGATACCTTATACTGATGGATCCGTTGAGGTCAAGAGGGAAAATACAGTCACTTCATTCAGGAAGCACTTAAAGTTAAAGGACCCATTATGAAACAGTAAGTTCAGTAAAAATTAGCTGCAATTGTGTGTGTGTAAGTTTATGTACTCAACCAACAGTAGGAAATATCTATACAAGAAGGAGCCTTTGGTTATCATGTCCACCCAGCATGCACTCAAATGTGTTTGCTCTGTGACTCCTGATGGCCATTGGTATTAAAAACAACGGAGCAGAGCAAAGACTTGTTTTCCTATCTCATCTTAGGAAAGATAATGAAAATAATAGAGTCTGGAAAAGACAAAGTACTCAGTGTACATACGTGTGTGTGCTTGTCCACTAGGGGTAGAAAGACACAGAAGCTCAGAAATAAATCACTACCTCTAGAACAAAAGCACATGTAGACTTTGGATAGTAACTTCATTTCTGTAGAAATGAGGCAGTTCATCCATGCACAGAAATTAAAGAGTACGGCAGGAAAAGTGCTAAACAAAATATGAATTGTAATGAAATCTAAAATGTCAGTTGTTCTATTATTGTGGCTTTATGTGATCATTAGGCGAAACAGCCTGGGTAATGAGAGGTCACGGTGGCTAAAAATCAGAGCACTAATGGCTCTAACCTACTGGTGAGAGGCAGTGATCTCAATAAAAGGCAACGCTAATGGAAATAATCCCGCTGAAAAAAGGCTGCCATCTATAATGCACAAAAATAGAGAGAAATAGAGAAACCTTCTCGGTTCACCTAAATATTTATTGTTTCAACAAATACTGTCTTTTTTAAATCAGTTGGGAAATGTCCCTTGCAAGAGCTTGCTTCTATGGCTTCTCCTACTCAGACTCCAACCCTCTAACTTTCCCTTGAGTGACCAAACCAGCCAGTTGTGTCTGTACCACTCTTAGGAACATACTTCAATATGGCAAGTGTAATCAACATGGCCCTGATATAAGAGGCCTCTAGTTAACGTGCAATGAGGCTGCCAAGGAAAAAAATGGCTCATCTATTAGGGCCCAGTATTATCTGAGGCTTAAAAAATATTCAGTCAGCCCCCAAACCTCCGACATGGCCAAAACAGTCAGGAGGCAGCTGCTGCCTCTACAGAGTCACCACTGGAATAGCCTTTCTCTCAAAGCTGCCTTTGCATTTTCTTTCTAATTTGCTTTGGTTTTGGACTTCTTTTTACCTGATTTTGATTTTTTTTTAAAGTGGTAAAGAGAACAAGTTTGCAATTTGCCCTGCACCATGGAAATGATCAAAGGAACACTAGTTTTACCATTTTATTTATTTAATTAGAATTTTCACATGATATAGTCTACAAATGTTAAGTTCCTCAAAGACCAGGATTGTTTAAACTTAAAAAAAAATTATCTCTTATAGCTCTGAGTATAATAATGCAGAGAAGAATGATGGAGAATTTGACATTAAACCTCATCATCTATCAAAATGGCTGAAGGTTCAGGGGAATTGTGTGGGGAACAGCGCCTGGGCCTGGGCAGGTGTGGGAACGTGTGCTGTGCAGTATGAGGTTAGAGCAGATTGTAGGGGTTTCCCCTGGGGACACCTTGTGGGTGGAATGGCTTGCTATGTGAAAAGACAAGGCTAATGGCTCAGGTAACCATGGCTTATGCTCTCATTGCCCTCTAGCTATCCAGATCAATTTATATGGCCTCCGGCCTCCTCTGAGTTGGGTATTAGGCTTTGGTTTAGGACTAGAAGCCTTAATGTAGATAGAATTCTATGACAATGTTTTGAAATCAGGTGTGTTCAGGAGTAGGGGCTATGTTTGGAAGGGAACCTTGAAATTTCCTAGCAAGGAGACTTCATACTGCAAGAGCCACCTGGCTATGCCACACCCTCTAAATACCACCACCTCTGAAATTCTGAAGCCCCCTCCTGCAGGAGTCTGTGGCATCTCTACCTTCAAGGGGGTCCCTGCTGTGACCATCAGCTTGGATGATGAAAGTGCCTTCCACTCAGGTGTGACTGGAGGAGTGAAAATGTTGAGAATCAATCTGCTAGACTATAGGATAATGTTGCTCCATTCCTGTTTCTGAAGCCCAGAGAATAATCTATTCCATGTGGTCTATTGTCCCTCTGCTATTCAGAACACAGCCTTTTAGGATCTCAGAAAAAAAGAGTAGAATTGTAATCACAGGTTAACCAGCAGATACTATAAAGGGAGGCATTAATCCCCTTTGTCTTGCTTTTCAATAGTTCATGAAAACAACAGAGGAGCTACAACAGAAATTCACAAACCAATGTGCTTGCTTTGACTAGCACTCCATTTACAAGCCTATTCGACTCCTGATTCTGCTCTTC